AACAGGTCACTGCCAGGGACGCCGGCCCTGCCCCTGCTCTTTCTCTAGGCCCGGTGAATGCGTCGAACACCCCACCCCCACCCGCGCCGCCAGATACACCCTTCCCACTCCCTACATCCCGACCACACGCCTCCATCTCTCCTCTCCCCGCCCCATACACAGTGCCACACGCCCCCCTCCCCCCCAATCTCCCCGCCCAGGCCACACTCCCCTCTCCCCACCACGGCCACACGCCTCCTCCCGCCCCCCTTCCCGCCGGCGCTCCTGCTGCCGCTTTAACGGCCGGGACCTCCCGGCCCGCGCCGCGCGCTCCAAGCGGGGACCCGGGGGGGCGACAGATTTGGGGCATTGCTCGAGGGCAGTGAGTCATGAAAGCCGCTTTTGTTACCCGCGCGTGCGGTTCGCGTGCCGCTCAGCAGCCTGCAGCGCCCAGTGGGGACTGGAGCTGGAGGAGTACCGCTAACTGGCAGCGCGGGCAGAGGGAAAGGGCGAGAATTTAGGCAATCGGGAGGGGAAAAGTGTGCAACTGTCGAAACAAAGTCCAAAGAGGGAGAGGAAAATAAGAAGGCGGGGGCGGCGACTGTTCCTCCTACCGAGCCCCACAGCGCCGGCACTCCATCCTCTTCCAGCGTTACCGCCACCACTGTAGTCTGGCCTCACTTTCTCGCCCCCTCTCTCTCAACAATAAGCGCCTCAATCTAGGTCTAGTTTGTACTTCTCGCCTCCCGGCCCGACTACTCGGCTGCCGCCTCGGGAGGTCCAGCCTGGGCTCTCTCAGCGCCAAGATTCCCTCGCTGGGGGATTGACATTCCCCGCGCAGAGGAGGGTTTGCTCCCAAGCTCTTGTGGGCCGTGAGGCTCATTAAGAGCCAGTGAGACCGAACCTCGCCAGGTCTCTGGAACATCCCGGAGTGGACTTTTCTTTGTATAAATCCCAAACACTGGATTAGGGGTGAATTTATTAGAAGGAAAGGGAAAGAACGGGTCTACTAATTTCTGCACTTTGCGCATTTGAGTATCGGGTGGCGAAACACTCAGTCCTTTTCTGCCCTGGAACATTTGGTTCCACAAGAATCTTCTCTATTCCACAGGATGTCGCAAACTGAAGAGGTTTCCTCTTCCCTGGAAAGGAGGGATCCCCCAGGTCATCCCCGGGTCTTTGGACAGCTGTGGCCGTCTCTTCCATTCGCCCCTAACGTTTTCCCCTAAAGCTCATTTAAGACCAAGAAGGGAGAGCCAGGGCGCCAGTAGCCGCACGGTGAGCTAGCCTGTGGGGCGGCTGCCCGGAGAGTGGGGAGCACTTGGTCCGCCCTGCAGCAAGTGTCCTCAGACCTGCGAGTTGTGGACCCGCCTTAACTTCCAAGCCCCTTGAGTTTTAACCCATCACTGATAATACAGACGGTGCAGGGGTAAATAATGAGACTAGGTTCTGAGGTGAATTATTTGACATTCTTCTGTGCTCTTTGTACACTGACGAGTGAACGCAGAAGAGCAAAATCTCCTTACAGGTCTGGTCTTGGAAACTCAGCATAATTCATGTCATGCTTTCAGTGGACGGGGAAGGTTGCAACCACCACCTTCCAGACACCAGTGATCTTGTTAGAACCCTCTTCCCCTCTCCACTGCACCGCCCCTCCACTTCCCAGATGCACCTAGCTTCTGCCGCTCAACCGTGACATTGTTTGCAAACTTGAGGGGCTTTTAGAACGATTGCCTTTAAATAAACAATCCAAGTTCGAGGCATTCATTTGAAGGGGCGATAGGTCTGGGAGGGATAAGGTGTTAGTTAATGGAGGATTAGAGAAGAAGCTGGTGGAGAAGGAATGGAAAAGATGGGATATGTGACTAAAGTCTGCCTTGGTAGGAATGAATAAATAAAGAATCACCATTCAAACACAAATATAGCTCCTTCAAAATTAGTCAGGAATCTCTATGATCTTTGTTTGATGGACAAGGTGGAGGTCGCATCAAGACAGTATCTTTGAGGTATAGAGGAGTCATGGCCATTAACCCCTTCCAGAGTTGTGTTACAGTTCTTTCTTGAAAGAGGAACGAAAAGACTCATTTAGCATAGGCCAGTTGCATCCTCCTATTGAGAAGGCTTGTGGGAGCCAAGTACCCACTCACAGGCCTGAGAGGGTGGAATGCCAGCCTATGGCAAGGAACAAGGGGCATCAGATGAGGGCATCCTTTGCAACAATCCAATGGCCTTGGCAAAGAGGCAGAATCCAAGCATCAAAGGAGTGCCCCAGCTTTCACACACAGAGCTCTGAGGCTGAAGGAGCCAAGGCCTGAGCGTGTGGACTAACCTGCTCCAAGGGCCAGGACTTCTGTGAGGAAGTCTTTAGGAACAGGGGTAGCTGAAGGTGGGGGTACACCGAGTTGCATTATGTATGGTGGGGTAGAATGACTGGTACAAAATTTCTGGACTGTAGAGAGTGGGAGTGGACGATACAATTAAGGAGGCTAAAGAACTAGCATCAAAGCTGAGTTTACAGATGAAGCCGTTTTTACATGGCGTATATGTTTTCTTAAAGGTTCGGTGGAGATGAGAAGCCACCCTTTGGCGCCAATAAGCAAAGCGTCTGCCAAGAGGAGGAAACCCAGAGATGGACGACTCAGAGAGGGCAGAAAGTCTTGGTGCTCTGGAGACCAAAGCCTGGAGGAAACATCCAACGGAGTCAGGACGCTTCCCTGCACGCCTCAGTCTCCACGCTGCTGCCTCATTCACCTCTGCCCTACTTCCCGCCCCAACGCGGGCCACTCACTCTGATCTAAACGCAGTCAATGTTAGCTTTCCCGCTCCCTTCCCTCAATTCTCCTCCCCCCTTGCCCCCTCTCCCTTCTGCCGCCTGAAAGGGTTAATCTCTCCTGCGGGTAAAAACAGGTCCGCGGAGTCTCTAACTGGCGACAGATGGGCCACTTTCTTCTGGCCACAAAGGGGCCGGAATGGAGCGCTCCGCGGCATACAAATGGGCAGGTCACGTGGTCCCCGGCTCCTGGCTGGACCGGGAAGACCATATGGCGCATGCCGGGGAGGAAGGAGATGGGGCGGGGGTAGGGGTGGGGGCTAGGGGAGCTGGAATCGGAGGAGGGAGGGAGAGCAGCAATGCTGAAGGGGCGGGCGGTGGGGGAGGGCGAAGGGAGCGCTCAGCCTGGACGCGTGCGCAGGCGCCGGGCGCAAGGACCTGCTAGCCGCTCCGCTCCCGGCCCCGCCTGCGCTCAGCATCACCAACCCGCCTATATAACCTGAGCGCCCGACCGACGGGGAAACGAGGAATTCGCCCCACGCAGAAGGCACGGCATCCGGAGGCCCCAGGGTTATGAGACCATCACTGCTCAGGACCTACTAACAACTGCAGGTAATTACAATTCTTTCATTTTTGCCTGAGAATAAAAGCAGTAATTGAAGACCGAATATACCCACATATATTCTGAATGTGTGCGTTTGCGAGCGTGTGTATGTGTATTGAAACAGGCACTCCTCCTTATGATTGCAGGCAAATACTCACACATTTCGACTCGCATCACTCACATAACTACCGCAGGCTTTCTGATTAAAAAAAAAAAAAGATGTTTTAGTATATTGGTTTTGAGGAGGGGAGAAATTGTAGGAGCATCTTTGGATTTTTAAAATAATGCACAGTAACTCTGATTATTTGCTAGTGGTGATTTCAAAGTCATGAAAGCAAATAACTAGTTCACTTTCTCACTTCTTCCAGTTAAGGAAAAAGAAAAAAGAAAAGCCCTGATACCAAGATTTGTTTTGTGTGCATCTATTTTATGCACATTGGAAGTGCCAACTTATTTTTTCAGTGAATAAAAGGGATATTTGATAGCTGGAGTATACACACCCCGGGGGGGGGGGGGGGGAAATCCCGTTGACAGATAGTTTAGTTAGGGGGGAGGGGAGGAGTGTGGAGGAGAGAGGAACCAACTCCTGCTACCTGTTACTGCTCCAGAGGCTGCCAAGTCTCCAGCAGCCATTGCAAAAGCCAGAAATTCAGTTGTCTCACTAAAGGCTTTTTATTTTCTTTATTAGAAGCGGCAACTTCTCTATTGCCAATCACCGACCATTATAATTACTCATTCTTTTAAAAAGAGGTTTGAGGCGAAGTTTGAAAAGCCCCAATAAAGAGCGGGCAGCTCTTTCAATGGGCTGTTTATTAGAGAGGAGCCTTCCGCACCTGATCCCAAGTGCGTGGAAGGGCGCTCTGCGCCGTGCCCTCAGCCCTGGTCATGTAGCCAGAGCTTTTGTAGAAGGTGGAAATTCAGCAGAGGGACTGTGGTGGGAGGCGAGAAAAAAAAGGAAAGGGTGGGATGGAGACCCCGGACCACTTTTGTTGCCAAATGTTTCGTTAATGGTGAAATAATTTGGTGGATACTACTTTTCCTCCGCCAAGCATTTGCTCTTCAATCTCCAGTTAGTATAATCTTCTTAAAAATCACCGCCACCGTTAGTACATTACGTAAGGGCTCTTCAACTGTAATCGCTAAGTACAAGAAGCCAGGGCAGAGAAGGGAACAAACAAAATTGGGATTTTCAAACTCCTCATTTTTTGTGGAGTTGCGAGTGACTTTGAACTCATGCAGATAAATGTGAGGTAGTCAGGGAAAAAAACAACAAACATGAAGTAGTCGAAATGTATGCTCATTTTCACGCATATTATTCTGTCACATAATCACCATAAACACACTTTCATCAACCACTAGGAAACACACACAGGAGTGTACATATACACATATTTACTCTCTCCCCCGCCTCCAGCCCTGCCCTGTCTCCTATGTGTCAGCGGGACACACGCGCGCCATTATAAAACACAGCATTTAACTTTTTCTTAGGGGCATCCATTTTGTAATGAGCTGGTACTTCTCCTCACGTGCATTTCTACAAGGTTAGGGAGTGGGAGCTGAAGGCTTAGGTAGTTTTTGAATGTAGCGTTTTCCTCCTTTTCTTTCTGTTCCTCTCTCCCACCCCTGTTGAATGTAGGAAACCGAAACATGACCAAATCATACAGCGAGAGCGGGCTGATGGGCGAGCCTCAGCCCCAGGGTCCTCCCAGCTGGACAGACGAATGTCTCAGTTCTCAGGACGAGGAGCACGAGGCAGACAAGAAGGAGGACGACCTCGAAGCGATGAACGCGGAAGAGGACTCACTGAGGAACGGGGCAGAGGAGGAGGACGAAGACGAGGATCTGGAAGAGGAGGAAGAAGAGGAAGAGGAAGACGACGATCAGAAGCCCAAGAGACGGGGCCCCAAAAAGAAGAAGATGACCAAGGCGCGCCTGGAGCGTTTTAAGCTAAGGCGCATGAAGGCCAACGCCCGGGAACGGAACCGCATGCACGGGCTAAACGCGGCTCTGGACAACCTGCGCAAGGTGGTGCCCTGCTATTCCAAGACGCAGAAGCTGTCCAAAATCGAGACGCTGCGCCTGGCCAAGAACTACATCTGGGCTCTGTCAGAGATCCTGCGTTCAGGCAAAAGCCCTGATCTGGTTTCCTTCGTACAGACTCTCTGCAAGGGCTTATCCCAGCCCACCACCAACCTGGTTGCCGGCTGCCTGCAGCTTAATCCTCGGACTTTTCTGCCTGAGCAGAACCAGGACATGCCTCCGCACCTGCCTACCGCCAGCGCTTCCTTCCCTGTGCACCCGTACTCTTACCAGTCGCCGGGGCTGCCCAGTCCGCCCTACGGTACCATGGACAGCTCCCATGTCTTCCACGTTAAGCCGCCGCCGCACGCCTACAGCGCTGCGCTTGAGCCCTTCTTTGAAAGCCCCCTGACTGACTGCACCAGCCCTTCCTTTGACGGACCCCTCAGCCCGCCGCTCAGTATCAATGGCAACTTCTCTTTCAAACACGAACCGTCCGCGGAGTTTGAGAAAAATTATGCCTTTACCATGCACTATCCTGCAGCGACCTTGGCAGGGGCCCAAAGCCACGGATCAATCTTCTCGGGCGCCGCTGCCCCTCGCTGTGAGATCCCTATAGACAATATCATGTCCTTCGATAGCCATTCACATCATGAGCGAGTCATGAGTGCCCAGCTCAATGCCATCTTTCACGATTAGAAGCATGTCAGTTTCACCATCCCCGGGAAACGTACCCACTGTGCTTACAGTGACTGTGGTGTTTACAAAAGGCAGCCCTTTGGGTACTATTGCTGCAAAGTGCAAATACTCCAAGCTTCAAGTGATATATGTATTTATTGTCGTTACTGCCTTTGGAAGAAACAGGGGATCAAAGTTCCTGTTCACCTTATGTATTATTTTCTATAGCTCTTCTATTTTAAAAAAGTAATACAGTTAAAAAAATGCACCACAAATTTGGTGTAGCTGTATTCAGATCATATTAATTATCAGATCGGGATAACAAAATCACAAGCAATAATTAGGATCTATGCAATTTTTAAACTAGTAATGGGCCAATTAAAATATATATAAATATATATTTTTCAACCAGCATTTTACTACTTGTTACCTTTCCCATGCTGAATTATTTTGTTGTGATTTTGTACAGAATTTTTAATGACTTTTTATAATGTGGATTTCCTATTTTAAAACCATGCAGCTTCATCAATTTTTATACATATCAGAAAAGTAGAATTATATCTAATTTATACAAAATAATTTAACTAATTTAAACCAGCAGAAAAGTGCTTAGAAAGTTATTGTGTTGCCTTAGCACTTCTTTCCTCTCTAATTGTAAAAAAAATTGCACAATTTGAGCAATTCATTTCACTTTAAAGTCTTTCCTTCTCCTTAAAACGAAAACCAGATCCATAACTCTTAAGAGGATTTAAAAAAAAAGAGAGAGAGATGTAGTCCCTATCAAAACATATCAATTCAACACATTACTTGCACAAGCTTGTATATACATATTATAAACAAATGCCAACATACCCTTCTTTAAATCAAAAGCTGCTTGACTATCACATACAATTTGCACTGTTTCTTTTTAGTCTTTTACTCCTTTGCATTCCATGATTTTACAGAGAATCTGAAGCTATTGATGTTCCCAGAAAATATAAATGCATGATTTTATACATAGTCACACAAATGGTGGTTTGTCATATATTCATGTAATAAATCTGAGCCTAAATCTAATCAGGTTGTTAATGTTGGGATTTATACCTATTGTAGTCAATTAGTACAGTAGCTTAAATAAATTCAAACCATTTAATTCATAATTAGAACAATAGCTATTGCATGTAAAATGCAGTCCAGAATAAGTGCTGTTTGAGATGTGATACTGGTACCACTGGAATCAATCTGTACTGTAATCTTGTTTGTAATCCTGTATATTATGGTGTAATGCACAATTTAGAAAACACTCATCCAGTTGCAATAAAATAGTATTGAAAATCTGACCAATTGTTGCATTTCTTCTTAAAGTGATTTTTAAGTATAATTCTTAAGCAGAATAGTTGCTTTATTTGCTGAATTAAAAAATACTAAATGCTAAATGTAGAGTAAAATAAAAGACAAAAGTTTACTTTAGCATACTCTTTAGTCTGTATCTTGATTAGGGAGTCACCAGCTCTTCGTAGATAATGAAAGAACCTAACTCATATTTCATTACATGGAATATGAGGCGGGGGTTGGGGGGGATGGGAAGACAAACAGTTGAGTTTGTTTTTCTTTGTTTTAAGTGTCTTCTTTTTTAGCTTTTTGATTTTTATTCTTTTAAATGATTATGTTTTTTCCATTTTTTAAAAAAGGGGATATTTAGTTAATTATTAATAAGCAGACACAAACAAGTGCCCTAGCTTAGTTTGTCTATACATTTAAAAATATATGAGAAAACTTTGCCATTTTCTTAGTGCATTGTTATCTGTGCATTTTCCTGAACAGAACTGAATATCAGTACTATCATAAAGTACCATTGCACTTGGCAAACATGTATTATACAATAGTACTATACAATATAGTACTGGTTTGCAAACCACTACTATCCCCAAAGAAAGTTATGTACCTTTAGAAAATGCCGGGGGAAATTATTTAATTAATTTAAAGAATCCAAGAAGTAGCATTTTGTAATTTCCTTATGAACCTCTTGTGATGATTTCCAGGAGAAAATGTAGTGAGTTATTTGTACTCAAGAACATACTATGTGTAATGTAATATATTTTAAGATGGTACAATTGTGTCCCTTCCCTTTTTGGAACATTAAATAGATTTCTGTGGAAAACTTACAGATGACTCTGTCCATTGTTAAGTCCACCAAAAACAAAGTTTGGCATTTCTCTTCGTCTGGATGTACTGACTGACAGGAATGCTTCCTAGGGAATAACACTTTGGCACTTGTGTCCTGGCTCTACCATGGTGCTCTGATTACTGTCATTAGTAACTCCATTGTTCCTCCTCTGATTCGGATGCCACATTGGATGGCTACCTCTCTTCCCAAGCTTGTTCCTTTAATCTCCTTCTCATTGGTGATTTAGGGGTTCCAGAAAGCTGACCTCATTTAGCAAACTGCTCCAGAAAAATGTGAGTAATCTAATGGACAGGAACAATTAGCCATACTAATAACATTGCCAATGGGGCTATGTCAAGCTGTGACAGTAGCAGTAAGGAATATTTCAACGTTAAAAAATGTTTGAGTTCAATTTAAAATATATCATTTTAACATGTTTTCCATCAGCCTTCATCAGATGACAGAAATGCTCTTAAGTTAGTCTCAACTTTATCCAAAATGCAGTAATCTCATTCCAAGTGAATCAGAGTTGTTATTTTGAAATCAAGCTGTTGCTTCTAGGATTGCTCTCACTGTTCTTACTTTAAGAGATGTAATACTGATAGGATATCTGAACATTGCCAGCCTTCCAGCCTATGGGACATGAAGTGAACATTCAGATCTGATGTGATCTATTCAGCAGCTTAATTTCACCTATAATTAATATTATACATCTTCATTCAAACTAAAAACTTGCTGTAGTAAACAGAAGAAATAATAAAAGAATGCATTTTAAGGATTCCAGCTTTTAAAACATCAAGCAAGGAAATGTATATTGTGGATTTTTTCTTTTTTTGTAAAGTAGAAATGCAGGCTCTTAAGTTAAATTGTTTTTGCCCCTTTCATTTTGCCTATATAACTTCATTCTAAAACATAAGGATTCTTTCAGTCAGTCAAGGAGTAACTCACATGCCACCATCTTTTATTCAAAGGCAGGCACAGATGTTCCTTCTGCAGGGGAGGTTTTAATTTATGAAAATGATATTGTTTATGCATGAATGAACTGAATGCACTCTGCATAACACACAGCACTTCCATCTGATCAGAGAAATACCACAGAACCAGTGCCAATGTCAGAAACATATTCTACAAATTTACTCACTTAAATGTTTAATGAATATTTGGAAGACATTTTCAAACCACAAGAAACCTTTTCAATTATCTTTTTCTTTTCTTCTTGAATTGCCACCAATATTTAAAAGAGACTTGGTTTTTATAATTTGCTAATACCTATATCTAGCTAATAAGAAAAGAAAATGTTTTACTATGTCAAAAACCAACCAAAAAGAAGAAACATTGACAACTTTGATTTCATTCAAAAAAATATATTTTTTAGTGTTGTTGTATATTGTTTGTTATGAGTAACATTTAGGGTTCTATGTGGACAATTACTATTCCTATCAAATACAAAGCTTAGATCTACTTATCTAATGTGAAAATGCACTAAAGAGTTATTTCCAGAAAAAAAAAAAACTGGTATTTAAAAATCAGCAATCAGTTTTATAGTGGGAGATGAAATTTGGCTAAATATTTTAACCAGTGCATAATTCCCTTTGAATAGAACACTGCATAACTTAGATTTCATTTATATCACCAACTGCATTCATACAGTATGATCTACCTACTTTTAATCCTAAAAAATACAATTAAATGCAAACTAAAATAAAGAATTAAAATATCTTAAGAATGTTCTGATAATTTTAGATTTATAGTATGATACAGTAAAATAACATTTGCAACAAATTATGAGTGTTCTGATGTATTAATCTTAAAACACCCTATGTTTTTTACATTTGAAAGTCTATAATTCTTACAAAATTAATGCATTTCTGAAAGAAGCTAGCAATTACTAAAATGATATCTGGATCATTAGCTAGCAGTTTGAAGCAAGCTGTTTTAGTTCTATAATTAAACAAGAGATTTAAAGTGAAAATATCTATCCAACAATTAATAAAACTAGGCTTTAAATGTGGACTAATTTTGTCCTAATGGGAATTGTAAAACAGCAAAGCTGTTCTTAAACTACACTAAAGCCTCCTCTCTTCCCTTTTCCTCCTCCACCACCACTTATTTCCTAAAATCAATCTAAATAAAATCTTTAATTCCAGGGTCTGATAAAGAATAAAAGAGCCAATGCAACATCTTGTGGAACACCAGGACTGAGAACTCTTGTTGCTACCATTGCACAGAGGCATTCTGGCGTCAGATACACAGTGATTTGTATGGTGGCATAATCATTGGCTCTTGGCCAGGCATTATGTTTCAGAGGACACTATTGTCAAGAACCATTCAACTAGAAATCTGCACTGTATGCACTCAAAAGTTGAGATCATCTGCCTTCCCATGTCAGGAAGAATTTTGTGCTGGCAATTGACTCACAGACTCTTCACACACACTAACACTTGGTTCGATGACTCTGATGGAATTAGCTGGGTAACCAAACTAGTGGCATTGACAAGGCCCCAGCCTCTGGGGACTTCTGTTTAAATTGCAAATTTTAAAATATCTTAAAATGCAGAGTATTATGCAAATGCTGGACTAAATCTTCAGATACAGTAAGTGTGGATTTGGCCATCTAAACATTGCTGTTCTATTTGCCCAACTGATGAGAGATAAGTGGAGAGTGACAATAATCACTTTTGTAGATCCCCAGGTGTAGAGCAATCCAAAGGGATGGATCCACTTGTAAAATAACATCTAGAGATCGGAGAATAAGTTTAATCTCACATCTATGGGGAAACTTGGTAACTTACTTTGCCGTTAACAAGATTAAAAGCTAAACCTACTGTAGGCTTTGATGCCTTAAAGACACACCTCTAGGAATATGGCCTCACACACTTACTAGGTAGGTGCTAAGTGCTCTCTGTTCATTTACACATTTCATAACCAAAGCAGCCCTGTGCCTTATTCTATAGATGAAGGAATTGCAGGAAGCTGGGTTACCTAGATACTTGGTTTCCTTTGTTCATTCAGGTTCTGGTTCAAATGCCACTTC